CGCTAGACTATTGCAACAATGCTTACTGTGTGGTTGTGGATTGTTGGACTAACAACTTTAGAATCACAGGCAGGGGTAGAAAGTGGGCAGGGAAATATCCTTGTCAACCTTTGGATTCCTGGGCCTCCCACCCGACCCACTGAATTAAAATATCTAGAGGTTGATTTCAGAAATCTGCATTTTTCCTGGTATTCCAGGTGATTCTTATGAGCACTAACATTTGTGAAACACTGTGGTAGTGGATTTTCTTGGTTAATTTTTAAAAATTTACGTGAAAAGGAATTGTTTCTTTCACCATTTATACCAGCTGGTTAAGAGATTCAGACAAAATATCAATTTCAGGACAACACCAGGACTTACTACCCACCAGACGCCTGCATCTGGGTAACAAACATTTGCTTGCCGGTGAGAGAACAACAGTGATGAATCTTTATACATTTTATTATTTTTTTTTTTACCTTATCATTTAGACAAATCAGTCAGACAAAAACCAGAATTTTAAACCCTTAATTAATTTAAAACATCCAGGGAAATCCTTTAACTTTACATACGAGGAGAATGAGACCCAGAGAGATCTGCAAAAGTGTTCACAGCTGCTGAGGGAGATCTAGGACACAGGTGTTCGGATCCACCCAAGGCTTCATCTATTGTATCATCAGTCTCTTTCTCTTCCTTTCTCCCCAGCCCCTCTTTCCTTCCTTTTGCCAAAAACATATTCTGACTTCAAGTATCTTTACCTTTGCCCAAATTATGAGTGATATTTTCATTTCAATTTTCTCTTCAGTGTTCAGAATTCACATTCAAAACCTTGGCTTTCCATGAAAGATTTTCTTAGCCGTTGAAAGTAACAGGTTGTTTGGAAAAACAACAACTTCAGTATTCCTCTCACCACTACAAGTAATTTATAGTTGGTTAAATACATTTTTTCTTAAGATCATTTGAACTGTCTAATTCTTTAACAAAAGCATTTCGTTATCAGTCTCTGTTCCACGACCTTGCAGCCTGCATTCTACCTTCAAGCAGTTTATTTCTGACATTAAATCTCTTGAGATACATCATCAAGGAACATATTACAATTGTTATGACCACGAAAGAAATGACTATTGTCATATTGCAGAGAAGATTCCAGGCGGAACAAGCATCTTCAGCATTGGAAGTGTGATTACTTACATCTCAGTCAAGACACGTTTTTGTCCCCCAGAGCGGGAATTATCTGACACACTGAATGTCTTTATTTGGATGGTAATGGTTATTCTTGAAATACAAATGGAGAAATAAACACTTCAAATCAAATCTCTGGTATGATTTTCAATCAACAAAATTCACTATGAATGATCTGAGTATTTTATTGCGTACATTCTAAATCTATAAATTAGTTAAAATATTTGAACTACAGTTTACATTGCACAAAATTTAAGCGGTATTTTTGAAGTAGGCGTAAGCTTGAAGCTTACTACATAATTTGCCAGAGTGAAATCCTTAGTAAATTTTTTCTGTAAATTTGAGCTTGACTGGAGTTTTCTTTAAAAAACAAAAATTCATCTTAGTTCAAAACTTCTTAGTTGGGTTAACAATATTCATCATAGCTTTTACAATTTAAAACTCAAATGTTAAATGTATTTAATTTGAAGAATATTAAACATCCGGTACATAATATCAAACTTTTGCCTGATCAGTAGAGTTTCCTACCATGTATATTTCTTCATTCTAAAATCGCTGAAGGAAGAAATCATCTTTCCAAGTATACTTCTTGATATTTGCCCTAAAATTAACCTTACTTCTTAGGTCACAACTCCCTAAAGGTTTTCATTAAACATCATGTGTTTATAGCTTCTTGGTAGAACAGGTGTCAGATCAGATTACAAAAATGTCTGGCATGTGGAAACTGTATATAAAAGCTGTCAAAAAAAATATAATGAGTCAGATTAACTATGCTCAAATCCTGCTTTTTCCATCAACCAATTGGATGGTGGAGACCTAGTGACACAGTGACCAGGCGTTCGCTTGCTAACTAGAGAGCTGGCAGTTCAAATCTACTGGCAGTTCGAATCTACTGGCAGTTCAAATCTACTGGCAGTTCAAATCTACTGGCAGTTCGAATCCATAGGCAGTTTGAATCCACCAGCTGCTCCTTGGAAACTCTATGGGGCAGTTCTACTCTGTCCTATAGGGTCACTGTGATTCAGAATTGACTCCACAGCCACGGGTTTGGTTTTTATTTTTTTAAACTTGATGATCTTAGACACATTCTTAAACCCTTTTGTACATTAGTCTCATCTAATAGTACTTACTCAATAAATTTGTTGTAAGGATTAAATGAGTCAATATATATAAGATGTTAAGAACAGCACTAGGCAGGATATACATATAAATTTGAGCTATTACAGAGCCCTGTGGTGCAGTGGTTAAAGCGTTAGGCTGCTAACCAAAACGTGGGTGTTGGAACCCACGAGCTGCTCTGCACGTGAAAGATGTTAACAGTCAGCTTCTATAAAGATTTACAGCCTTGGAAACCCTATGGGATAGTTCTGCTCTGCTATGAGTTGGAATGGACTTGACAGGAGCGGGTTTTGGTTTTATTATAAGTATAGCTATTAGTCTTATTATACATAGTACAATAATTGTTATATTAAAAAAAAAAAAAGAACTGTTGCTGCTGAGTCGATTCCAACCCAAAGCGACCCTATAAGACAGAGGAAAACTAACCTATAGGGTTTCCAAGGAGCGTCTGGTGGATTCCAACTGCCAAGGTTTTGGTTAGCAGCCAAGCTCTTAACCACTGTGCCACCATTATATTATGCTATGCCATATTATTATTATAGTAGACTCTGAGTAACTGATTATAGAATAAATGATTCCATGTGGAAAAATATTCTTTGTGCTGAAATACTTGAAGTTCAAACTTCATTACATTAAAATAAACAGAACCCTTTATGGAGGGTTCGTAAAGACTTGAAATAGCTTTAGATTTGTATCTCGTTAAGCCCCTTCCTTACAAGATGGCTGAGAACTACAAGGTCCTATGGGGTCACTATGAGTCAGAATCGACTCAACGGCACACAACAATAACAGCCTGGGCTGAGGTACTCTCTTAGGATAGGGGCTGGGCAGATAGAATGTCTCTTACCAGACCCAGGATTCGAAGTAAAGAGTCAAAGATGGAACGGGTGAAAACCAAATGTAAGTCAGAGAATCAAGCTACCAAGGGAGAGGCTCAAAAGCCAGGTAACTGGAGAGTCAGGGAGGTGAGAGTAAAGAACAAAAGGTCAAATAATAAGCTTGACATTGGCCTTGATGACACCTGGGACAGAATCTACAGCTAACTTCATGGCATCTGATTCCTGGGCAGGGAAGCCATAGTTAAAGCACAGGGAACTGGAACAGGAAGTTTGTCCATTACTCATTTCTCTCCCTTCTGTACTGCATAGACTGCACCAAACATAACCAGTACTTTTATTTTAGGCGAATATACATATGCTGGGTAATATACTCTACCTTTCCAAACAAAGGACATAAATGTGCAACATCATGACAAAAAAATAGAAAAGGCATCTCCCTCAGTAGCAGAAAGATAAAATAAACACTGAAAGTCCCCCTGACATCAACATTTATACCAGAACACAACGATGTGATAAAATCATCAGCAGAAACAGAGAACTAGAGGTCATGGCAGATATTGCACAGAATGATGTCTGGGCCTCTCAAAGATTACTCTGGGGAAAAGCAAGACACGCAAATAACAGAACACTTGTCAAATCAATAAAATTGACTTGTGTATGAAGTAAGGCATCACTAGAAAATGATCTTAATCTGTATCAGATTTTTCCGAAAGAGGGTGACAGGGAATTCTAGTTTGATCTTGCACACAACACGTTGCATATTCGTCTTGTGCAATAGAACACAATCTCTGTAATGTGGGATCCAGTTCTACATGCAGGAAAACCCTTCGGGGAACTCAGATGATGGTTCAAGAATAACAAAAGCGACTGCCTTCGAGCTTACTGGGAAGGGAATCACAGCTTGCATTTCAGTTCCTTTGACAGCAATCCCCAAATTTGCTGAAGAAAATATATCACATCTCATGATAGATCCCCAGCAAATCTTTGTTCTCAAGGTGTGTACACACACACACACACACACACACACACAGAGTATATATATGTGCATGTATGTACATGTATATGTGTGTGTTTATATATACTTTTACTGTTGATGATATTTAACAACAGAGTATTAAATACTTTACATGAAGATAACATGCAAAACCCAGTAAGAAAGTTTTTCTTTAAGACACTATGAGTTTCATTTTTTTCAATTTTTATAAATGTTATCAATTTTTGCTCAAGGGATTATGGAAAGAAGTACTTTCATCTGTCTCTACTGCTTGGACATGAAGCAGAAATGAATTCTAACTACATTATAATGTATGGAAGTGATGTGGCACATTATGAATGCAAATTATATGTGAATACTTAGTAATACTGTTTTACATAATAGGCCATATACAGTAACACAAAACAGATACTTAAATATGCATGAAATATAGGCCTTCATGTTAGAAACAGTCCTTTTTCCAGTAAAATATTTAGATAATTAGAATTCTTATTTTTAAAAGAAACCACCTCTTTATTTTTTAGAATTCATTTTTTTTTAAATAAGCTTTCACTAGCAATTCTTTAAGACAAGTACATTTCTAAATAGAAATAAAAAAGTTTATATTAATGTCAACTCTCACAATTGCTCTACTTCTTGTGAACTGGGTCTTTTTTAAAAAATGGCAAATGCACCATTTCAAAAGCCAGTAATGTTACTCTATACGAGATATCCTCCCATTCATCGCATTGATGAATATATGGCCTCTACAGTATTCTAGCATAGATTAAATACTAAAGCAAAAAGAGCAGAATGAATAGAAACTGAACTTTGTGGTTCCGTTGTTGCTCTTGTTGTCATTTGACAAGCAATGAAGGAATAATCAGTATCTTCGGCACGTTACTTACTGATGGGTAGAGGTAACCTTCTCCATTCATGGCTATGTACAACCCTGTCTTCACACCCTGGATGGCAACAACACGCAGTCCCACTGGGATGAGGTTGAACAGTGCTGTGAAGACAAACACGGTCTGTCACAAATGGGCAGCGAAAAGCAAAAGATTGCCATAACTTCTTCCTCTCTCATTTATTTAAGCAACAACACCTTTGTTGTCGTCTTCTAAGAAGTCCCAATCATATCATTTTTTTTCTTTATAGTTACGAAGCTTCTGCTATGGTTAAAATTAGCATCTCAGCTTCAGTTTATAAATCTCCTTAGTGGTCCTGCCTACAATACTCTGAAGAACTGATGGGATAATAAACAGAATCCAGCCTGTAATCATGATTCTAGTCTCTGACACCATTTGATACCAAAAGAAATCAGCTGTGGAGATCCTCAAAAAGCAGCATTTACAAAGTCCAAGCTGAATGTTTGTTCTCGTCTTTCATGCAGAGAATGAGATTCATCATCACAATGTAGTATAGACTGGATGTTAAAAAGGCAATCTCCAAACTAAATACTCTTGCAAAACCAACATGCTACTCCAGGAATGCTAAGAAAAGTCAAAATGCCCAGGTTTTTCATATAATTTTATTTATTTATTTTTTGTGAAATGCAGTTGAGAGTCTAGACCTAAGATATTTTTCGTACACATTTGCAACAACATGTTAGTACTATCAATGTCTGTCCTGGTGTGGTCTTATTGCTTAGAATTAGACTCAAGTGTTTCGGCCAGTGTGCTAAATTTAGAAAGAACTAATCAAATGGAATGGCATGCAAATTTTTGAGAGAGATTTTCTTTATTATTATTTCATAAACATATGAATGAATATCAAAACAGAAGGGAATAGTGCTCAATTGTGCCAAATTAAAAATTCACTTATGGTCCATGTTTAATTGTGGCCCTTGCTGATAAGTAAAAATATATTTTTATATATTTTCACATAGTATAGATGTGATGTTATGCTTGAATTTTTTTCTTTTTAATCTTAATATTTTTTTAGCGTATTGCCCTACCAGGATTCGTATGATAACAGTTTATTGGGTCTTCTAACACCATTTGTAGTGATAACTTGAATGATGTTGGAGATTTTATTAAAGATACATTTACAGGAGAACTGTTAACTGTCCACAGTGAGATTAGCTTCTCCCACTCAAGTCTTTCTTGAGTCTAATTCTAAGCAATAAGACCACACCAGGACAGACATTGATAGTGCTAACGTGTTGTTGCAAATGTGTATGAAAAATATCTTAGGTCTAGACTGTCAACTGCATGTCACAAAAAATAAATAAATAAATAAAATTATATGAAACACCTGGGCATTCTGACTTAAATCCATAGGTCTACTCATTATATAATTATAAATGTCCTTTACAAATTATGTTCTACTTAATTCTCTGGGACATGTTTTCTCTGAATGGGGTAGAGATAGTTACGTTATTACAAGTTTTGATTCCAAGATCTCATGATATCTGTGGGACACAAATGATAAAAGAAAAATGTCAGGCCGTGGCCATAGGTAATGAACCCTGAAAAATAATCAAGGATATATACAGTTACTTGAATATTAGCTTTTGCCCAATGCAAACTAATATTGGACTGTGTTCTGTGGATTTTAGGGGCTTGGTCTCAGATACTTTATATTTATGGAAGAATGAGGCTTATTTTTGCTTATTTATATTATTTAATATTAAACTTCTGTGTAGAGGAGTTGCTGAGTACTATGGAGTACTTGGGCCATTGTAACTCTCAGTATTTCTTCTTCATGAAGGAAGGAGATTGTCTCTGTTGTCTTCTAGAACACCTAAACTATCTCCTCTACTTTAGAAAAGATGGGCACTACAGGATAATTCCCAACTTATATGCTAATATTTTGGGGAGAAAATTTAATCGTATACCTGCTCGTGCAAACTATTCTAACCTCACCTATTCTAGTCTTTATACAGACTTAATGGTATTTGTGGGAGCTATATAGTTAATATAAGGAGCCCTGGTGGCATAGTGATTAAAGAGCTTGGCTGCTACCCGAAAAAGGTTGGTGGTTTGAACCCATGAGCCGCTCCATGGGAGAAAGCTGTAGCAGTCTGTTTCTGTAAAAATTTACACCCTTAGAAACCCTATAGGGTCGCTATGAGTTGAAACAGACCTGATGGCAGTGGGTTTTTGTTTTTTTTTAATACTTAACATAGGCCAGATGGAATAATTCTAGAAGGCATGTGCACTATGAACTCACCAAAATAATGTGGTTTGGGAAATAGAAAAATTCGAGAAGATAGTAAAGAATGACCACACTAAATTAAAAGATTTTGACAGAGACCTGAATTATAAAAAACAAGTTATTGTAATTTACAGAATGATTCTAGAAAGCAAATCCATACAGCCCCTGCAATATAAAAGACCATTCAGAGCTGATAATGATCAATCTGCGGTGCTAATTCCAAACACAGAGACCCACATTAATTGCAACATCGTTGTATTTTTTCACTTTTTTAAAAATATTCTACATATTTATAAAGCGATGTCACAAAGCCTAGGGAGTAACAACAATGAATACACCTTCATGCTGTTTTGTTTATTCTGTGGAACATTCTAGTTCTCCATGTAGGGGTAATTCTAAACCCTAGCTACACATGAAAACAGCCTGTATTTATCAAACAGGAAGATCAGGCACAGACCAAGTAAATCAGGATCTGTAGGGGTGGGATTAGGGCATAGGGAATTTTAATAAAAGCTCCTCAAGCGACCCTAACAAACAGCCAAGGTGAGAATCACAACCCTAAACCCTAAACCCAGCTGGGTGATGTTCACTGTGAGTCAGTGGCAAATTTTATCCATCAAGTTACAAGGGGGGAATTAAGAGGTGATAGAGATTGGTTTTCTGAAGTTTAAATATTGCTGTAGTTACCAGCATATTGATATTTGTATAGTTTGATGAGCTGGAATCGACTTGATGGCAACTGGTTTGCTTTTTGATTATTATGCTTGGAGCATCTATTAAGTCTGATAATGGGGACAATGAAGTTTAAAAGCACATAGCTTCCCCAAAAGTAAACTTGGAGGCAAGGAAACTCCTTAATGAGATAACATGTTGTGTGTGCCCTTGAGTCTATTTCGACTCATAGCAACCCTGTATGGCAAGACTGCAAAGCTGTAATCTTTACAGGAGCGGATTGCCAGGTCTTTCTCCTGAAGAGTCTCTGCTAGGTTTGAACCACCAGCATTTCAGTTAGCAGCCAAATACTTAACAACTGTGCCACCAGGGCTCCTAATAACATACTATAGTTCTTGATAATCCAGACATTTAGTAGATGAAGGACTGCTGTAAGAAATTTAAAGGAATAAACTTCTGAAAGTTAGTGTGCTGATGAAATCATCTGCGGTCACACTTCTTTTTGGGAAAAGATCTTTCCAGGTCACAGGGTAGCCAATGATGAGCAGTCCAGTGGCTACAGCATCTGCTATATCAGGAACGTTTATCAATCATCAACAGTTTTCATACAGATCTCTACATCTCGGGCTGGAAACCAGCGAAGACATGAGCTTCACGTTCGCCTGCCTGCTGATCTGCTCCCCTGCTCTCGACTCATCTAGGAAAATTCCTGGCAAAGGCAGCTTAGCACGGTGGTTCTGACTTTACCTGGCTCTAAATAACTGCACATTTAGTAGTGGAAAGGTGACTTTTAGGTTACTTCTGTCTAGTTTTCTATTTACAAATAACATGCTCCTTGGAAGCGAGGATGGTGAGACTTGGTCTCACATACTTTGGACATGTTATCAGGAAGGACCAGTTCCTGGAGAAGGACAACATGCTTGGTAAAGTAGAGGGTCAGTGAAAAAGAGGAAGACCCTCAACCAGATAGACCGACACATTGGCTGCGACAATGGGCTCAAACATAGTAACCATGGTGAGGATGGCGCAGGACCAGGCAGTGTTTTGTTCTGTTGTACGTAGGGTTGCTATGAGCCAGAACTGACTCGATGGCACCTAACAACAACAATCCTTGTTTTATGTACAGGGAATTATCAAAAATTGCAACACATTTATGAATTATTTTACTCCCCTCCCCAGATCAGAGTGGCTCTACTCTAAACAGGATCCGTCAGGTTTTCTAATGCATTTCCTCATTTTTAAAGAATGCATTTCTCTGCTAACAATTTTCTAAGGTTCATAAGATTGCTGTAATGACTGGAGAAAAGAAAATATATTAAAATGTATCCTTTTTTAATTAAAAATGTGTTTCAATATAAAATGTGGTGGTACACAAAAGTGGAGTGACTTATTAATTTCCATTCCTTTTACAAATCTGCTATAATCCTGCCAATTTTTTTGTTAAATTTTAGAGTCATATAATTTTTATAACCTTTTGAGGAGAGACCCTTTATCTCACCCTGTTTTATTCTGTTCCGCTATGACTTGAAAATGTTGGAATGGTAACAAAACTAACCCAACTGGCCTAAAGTGCGCATAAAATGCACTGTGGTATGTAAGAAAAGAAATGGTGGGCCAGATCTTTGCATAGAAATTCAAGTCCCTGGAATGTGGCCACAGTAATTTGGCCCTGATGTGCTTTCACACTGGAGCTGCTTCCCTCCAGCACTGTACCTCTCTAGCATTTGTGGGAGTCAGATGGGATTTCCATTTCCCAGGAATTCTTGCTTTGTCTGATGGAGTTAAACTATAGGAGGAAAGAAGCCCCAAATATTTACAGACTAGAGGTCAAGTATCTTTCTGTATCTCAGCTTTCCAGTCTAGTATTTATTATTCAGATAACCAGACCTAAATATGTGTGTATGCATATAATACCAACATCTGCACTTCATAATTTAGAAAATACTGTGTTCCTTATTTAATTCCAAAGCAATATATTTTAAAAGACAATGTCTATTTGACATTTCTCAACCTGATACTGACTCCCATCATTAAAAATTACCGAAGGTAGGAAAAATTTTCATAAAATCTTTAAAGTAAATCACTCTATTTTTTTCCCCCAGGAGTCCAATTAGGCAGTATTTGCATATAGCTACAATTTATTTCTTTTCTTAAAAATTTTAGGCATAATATGCATGATACCAAGCTCTTGTCTGATAAATTTTTCTGAGTGTCATAGCTCATAAAGCGATTATAGAAAATTAGTTTTTTGCTCTATTAGACTCTGGTCAATGAAAATCAGAGAGCATTGAAGATACCAGGATTATGAATATCTGAACTGCATGACCCCACAACTGTAAGTCAAAAGAAGAAGAAAATGGCTTTTGTCAAAGAGTGGATAAGGAGCTAAAGATATGGGGAAAAGAAGCTGAGGAGATACATATGCATTAGTCTTAACTATAAGAAATTGTCATTTTTTGTAGGTCAAACATGGTCAAGTACTGATAATTTTAAAAGGTTCAACCTAATAACAAAATCTCAACTAGTGAACAATGTTTGACGTAGGTTTTATGAATAAAAATGCCTCCTCATCCTTGTGTCTCAATTGTCAATTTCCCTTTCTAAATCAAAAGAGAAAATGAATCAAAAATAAACCAATGAATAAATACAATCAAAAAAAGTTTAAAAGTACAAGAAGATATAATAGACACAAGGAGATGAAAGAGATTAGAAATTGAAAAGAGGGAAAATGTAGATAAAGAAAAATTTAAAAGAAGTTGAAGGAAAAATTTAAAAACAAATGAAGCAGTGGCTAAAGTCTAAGAAACAAACGCACTGGCTGGCAAAAATAGTCTATTTTATATCATTAGCTGCTTTTAGATCAGTATTACTGGCAATTTGATTATTTGAATTTAAAACAGGATGTGCTTACATCTTGATTAAACGTATTCATATTCTACATCCTTTTCACAGAATGATGTTATATATGCAAATCATAACTGGATGAAAAGATTCATATCTGCTCCTGAATCACTAGTAATATTTCCTATGATTACATATTGCTAATAAAATCTCTTTTCTTCTCACTAACTTTTCCAAGCAGTCACACGTGTGTCTTTTTTAGAACAAATAAATTAAAAAGGAACCTGACGCCAGTATACACAGAAAATGGGAAAGAAAACACAGACATTTGAAAATAGAGGGACACCGGGACAAAAATAGAAAGAAGTCACATACAAACAAATAGTAAAATGAAGAGAAAAATTTATGCTATGGAAGGTGTGTGGCTTTTTAATACTAATAATAATAAATATCACAGACCCATTTCTATAAAGTAGTAAAACATTTTGTGCAATGTATTTAGAAGCATAGAGTCCATATCCTCTCTAGAGAATATATTATCTTTTTTTAATGCAAAGAATTTTAAAAAGTTACATTTCTATGACTTGAGATAACTAATACTTGTAGCTCTTGAATTTACATAGTTATCATTGAGAAGCCACAGGTCTGAGAAAATAATACATCCAAAGTGAACATATTCTCAATTTTACTGTGTACTTCCTTGACTTTTATGACAATGAAACTAACAATAATCTCCTGGGTATAACAATTGTTTGAAGAAAAAATACATTACCTTAAAATTGTCTTAAAATCACAGGTTTCTTTTGTTGCTTTGTTAATATTTTCATCCAAATATTTTAAATAAAATTGTCCATGATATTCTAGTGTGTAACATTTTGTCAAAGTGAACCAACATAAGCAAATATTTGCAGATGTATTTTAAAAAGTAATTTAAATAGCACTCTATCTTCTACACACTGTGTTAACTGACGGCCTGCGGTTGTCACTTACTGGAATTAGTGCTGTCATCCTTGGTCCCATCGAGAGCTCCATCGGGGTGCATTTGCAAGTAGTAGCCTTGCCTGCAATATAACCTGGTCACTATACCCTTGAGCTGGGGATCTGAAAGGCAAACATAATAACCGTAAGCCTCACAATGTGTCATGATACAATTTTTTTTTTCTTTTTGGTTTCTTTTCTTTCTTTTTTCACAGTAAGAGGGCATTTTATACAAGTAACATGTCAGATGTTATGTCCCCTAGATTTCTCTGTGTTATATCAAACCTGTGGAGTATATTCATCACAGAGGCTGAAGCAAATGCAGTAGTAGTCTTCAGTAAATTGCATAGAACAGGCCATGTCATGAAACTAATATTAAACTATGAGCTTAAACTGATATTATCTTTCAGGATGGCAGCACAAGAGTTCTGCAAACTTCTGGTGCTAAGAAACTTTATTAAAGGCTTTTTAATTCATTATTCTTTCTTTACGTTGACAAGTAAACCTTAAATTTCCTAAAAAAAAAAAACTGTTTTTTCTTTTATTCCTACTAACATTTTGATACACGTTCTCAGAAAAAGCCCCGATATGGAGAATGTCCCTTAACTTGCATGAAAGTATCTGTAGTACTTATGCATGATCCACAGGAAAATGGAAAAATCTACTTCTGAACTCAGGGTGAAGTACAACAGAACAACTGTAAAGTGAGGTCATCTTGGAAACAACAATGTACAACATTAGAAAAATTATGCAGGAAATCCTATTAATGTATATACAGTCATGCACCGCATAATGGCCATTTAGGCAACGTCTTACCACGTATACGTCCATTGTCCCATATGATTATAATAGAGTTCAGAAATCCTAATCAGAGAACTGGACATAGAGGATGTAACACTTTAGAAACACGTCCAAACTGTGCCATATTTTTATGAGCGTCACAAAGTACTGTGTGTGTTATTACAAACCACCGCATGTATTTAACTGAAATTTTTCATATAATAGGCTTTCTGGCAGTCTGTTCTTAGGTACGAGTTGTATGTTTACGTTGGTCGTTCGTAACCTGGGGACTGCCTGCATATGGTATGGTGTTCGCACAACCTCCAAGTCACATAAAATCCTGTCTCACAGACCATATCGTGGGCATGAAGTGACGCTTGACTGTAATTTAAAAGGAGAATAAAATCACACAATATGAAATTTTATTCTTTGTCAACACGAGTGGAGGGAGAGTGTAGTAATGTTTATTAAAATAAAAAGGGAAATTATATGGTAACAGACCACTCATCTGATGATTCCCTGAAAAGACAACCACAGTAGTAATCCAGTCCTTCAGAAAGAACTGTTTACCTTTGAAAACAAATATTTGCATATGGCTTTTCAAAGGTCATATCTCTATCACATCTTCATCACATGACTAGATTTTGATGTGGGACATCATAATCCTTGCCATGGCAACAGACATCTCTCCGAAACAGCTAAATGGGACATGTAAATTTGATCATGCTGTCAAAACAGTAGTACATGACTGAATGATGAAACCTAGCATCTTGTAATCGATAGAAAAATTCTGTACTTGCAAACAGGTGAATACAAAAGTATGCATACAGAAAATGAAAGGTGTTCAAAACAGAATACCTTTAGAGCTCCATTTAGTTCTCAGGAAATTAAAAAGAATGGTAATATCTGTTTCTATGCACATCCTACACATCTAACAATTTGAAAAATGGCTGTTAAACTTTCTTCAAAGATAGTATTAACAAAACCTTGCAGAAAATAATGCATGAACACTACAGCATAACAACATCAGTGTGACTAAACATATTAGAAACAAACAAAAAAAAAAACCAGTTGCCATTCAGTCCATTCTGACTCACAGCCACCCCATAGGACAGAGTAGATCTGCCCCATAGGGTTTCCAAGGAGCAGCTGGTGGATTCAAATTGCTGACCTTCTGGTTAGTAGCCGTAGCTCTTAATCACTGTGCACCAGGGCTCCAAACATATTAGAATATATGTTTTTAAAAGACTCTAGGGTTTTAAAAGAAACGTGAACTAATCAAACACACACACAGAAAATAACAAATGTTGGAGAGGTTGCGGAGAGATTAGAACTCCTATGCACAGCTGGTGGGAATGTAAAATGATGTAACCACTATGGAAAATGATACAGTGTCTCCTTTAAAAGCTAGAAATAGAAATACCCTATGATTCAGCAATCCCACTCCTAGGAATATATCCTAGAGAAATAAGAGCTATCACAGGAATATACATATGCACACCCATGTTCATTGCAGCATTATTCACAGTAGCAAAAAGATGGAAACAGCCTAAGTGCCCATCAGCAGATGAATGGATAAACAAATGATAATACATACACACAAAGAAATACTACACAACAATAAAGAACAATGATGAATCCAAGAAACATCTCACAACATGAATGGATCTGCAGAGCATTATGCTGAGTGAAATAATTCAGTCACAAAGGGACAAATATTGTATAAGACCACTATCATAAAAACCCAAGAAAAGGTTTACACACAGAAAAAATAAATCTTTGATGGTTACAAGGGAGGGGAGAGGTGGGGAGGGGAAATCAATAACTAGATAGTAGAAAAGTGTCAACTTTGGTGAAGGGAAAGAAGACACATAATATAGAGGAAGTCAGCACAACTTGACCAAGGCAACATCATAGAAGCCTCCTAGACACATCCTAACACCTTGAGAGACTGAGTTATTGGGCTTATGGCTGGGGACCATGGTCTTAGGGGACATCTAGGTCAACTGGCATATAATAGTTCATAAAGAAAATGTTCTATATCCTACTTTGGTGAGTAGCATCTGGGGTCTTAAAAGCTTGCTGGTGGCTATCTAAGACACAGCTATTGGTCCCACACCGTCTAAAGCAAAGGAGATTGAAGAAAAGCAAAGGAGATTGAAGAAAACCAAAGACACAAGGAAAATATTAGCCCAAAGGACTGACGGACTACATGAACCAGAGCCTCCACCAGCCTGAGCCCAGAAGAACTAGATAGTGCCCAACTACCACCATAGACTACTTTGACAGGGATCACAACAGAGGGTCCCAGACAGAGCGGGAGAAAAGTAGAACAAAATGTAGAACAAATTCACAAGAAAAAAAGACCAGACTTACTGGTCTGACAAAGACTGGGGGAACCCTTGAGATTATAGCCTGTGGACAGCCTGCTAACTCAGAACTGAAGCCACTCCTGAAGTCTCCCTTTCAGCCAAAGTTTATTAGACAGGTCTATAAAACAAATAATAACACACATGAGGAACGTGTTTCTTCGCTCAATCAAGTAGATGAGACCAAATGGGCAACATCTGCCCATAAACAAGATGAGAAAGCAGGAAGGGACAGGAAAACTGGATGAATGGACATGGGGAACCTGGGGTGTAAAGGGAAAGGGGGAAAGTGCAAACACTTTGTGAGGATTATGACCAATGACACAATACAATTTGTGTACAAATTTTTGAAGGAGAAACTAATTTGCACTGTAAACCTTCACCCAAAGCACAATAAACTGAGGAAAAAAAAACAACAACAACTATAAAAGTGGTTATTAGGACTGTGGTACATACATTCCCATAGTGTATGATTTTCAAGAGCACATAATTCTAATATGTCCATTAGTCGGTAAAAAATACTGTTATGCTTTAATCTGCAAATCACCCAGTAAGTCTTGACTGAGATATCAACCTTGTAGTTACTGAGGACATATTTTCTTAATTTTGCTGTATCATATTTATGCTATTTACTGAGAATAAGTAACATCAAAATGAAGAGAAGAAAGAAAAAAAAAGGGGGAGGGAGAAGGATTTCTTGATTACCATGAAAACATATAGAGAATTACAGAGATTGAAAATTTTTCTGCAAAACCTTTATGTTCTGACATTACTTATTTCTAAACAATCTATGTCTTAGCTGTTATATCTTCTAGACATGAGTTAACCTGGATATCCAAGGTCTTAAGAAGACACTTATTTTCTCATGAGTACCCTCACACTTAAACCAAAAGAGCCCTTTTTGACCACACCTCATTTCTGATAAGGGAATACAACTAATGTACAAAATCATGTTTTTGATCTTGTTTGGTTTGGTTTTAGCTTTGGTATAATTTCAAGAAACAAAACCAAGCTGAGTTTCGATTCATCTAGTTTCACATTATTTGGCATTTTCCTTTTTTAGAGATAATAGCAACACTGATTGTGCTCTTCTAGGGTGCCAGGCATTGCTCAAAGCACATTACACAATTAATTCATTGAACTTCACCACACATCTACTTAATAGGAAGCCCGTTTTGAAGATGAGGAAACTGAAACACAGAGTAATTAATCTGACAAAGAGCACATAACTAGTAAGACCTGAGATTTTAACTTACCACTCAGCTCCAGAGCCTGCCCACTTAACCATTGACTATGTTGCTTCTATAAAATGAACAGTTGAACTAAGACATCTTAAAAACCTAAAATGAATGCCAACTAATCTGTTTTTTATTTTAAATGAGCATTTCAAAGATTAAGCACAGCTGTGTCTACACCCAAATTTTGCATAATCCGAGCTGATACTGTGATATAAAGCAGTAACACAAGGGTTGCAAAGGATCAAAGTTCTTGAAAATATCTTCTAAGATCCGCACCATTTTGCCATTGGCTGCATTTCCAGTCAATCCTTACTACATGACATCCTCACCAAAATTGCCAATCTAGTACTATAAGTTTAAAATTGCCCCTGGTACCATTTTCGGTTCAAACCCCCCTTGCCTCTACCAACACTAGCCAAAAGGTATTGGTACCCCCAACTTCACTATTTATGTTAACAGTATCAGTTTCCCAAGGTCACTTGTCTTTTTATTTTCATCTAATGATTTGTCTAACCCCTACAAATGCTGTCTTCACAATGCCCCCCACTCTTTCTCCTTCTTATGTTTTCACTATCCGCAACCAGTTCAGCTCCTTATTGCCTCTCCTAGGTGGTCTCACCACCCACAGCTTGCCTCTTCCAATCCATCAGTTCTGGAAACATACAATAACTCTTCACTGCCTTGATGGCGCAGTGGTTAAGAGTTTGGCGCTAACCAAAAGCTAGGCAGTTTGAAT